CGATACACTTAATCTCAATACTCGCGCTAAAACAACACTGTAATGAACGAACGTTAACTTCAACAATACCGTGTGACTGCAGTTCAATTACTCACTATCTATCCACACATTACCTTACCTTCTTTTATATACCAGCGTACCCTATTTCTAGTAAGAACTTGAACATTCGACAAAGTACATGATAGTTCTAGAAACGTTGCGGTCAGCGAGTCACGTGACTCTATGACGCAACAATAGTTTTATAAAGATCCACGTGAAAAATTGTCTGGGTTGAACTTCAAATCTTGTTACATATACCATATTTAGTAGATCATCAATTTTAGGACATTACTGAGCTAACTTGTAGGTTTAAGCTCAAGTAAGGAAACATTTTTAAAAATCTTTTTCAGATTATTACACATTTAAATACATATATGGAAACCTGAGAAGTATATGTATGCTAATTATTATAAACTTTAATGAAAATGTTTACGTATTGTTGGGTGTTGTAACAACAAAATTGGATAGATTTCTTTGGATGGGCTAAAGTCTAGGGATGAACTGTACCCCAAATGTCATGTATACTTATCACCAAGTGTGTGATTCGATGAGACTGAATTTGGGGGATTGTGTGGGTTACAGAGAGGTGTCTCAGATTCTGGTAATAAAGTTAAAAACGTATATCAGTTAAATGGCTCAATCTGTTAAACCTAAAAAAAAAAAATGTTAAAAGAACTTTCATCTCAGTTGTGTTCAGTCATGAAAAACAGAGTTTAGGGGATTGGCTAGACTGTTCCTCTTGCACAAAATGTTCATGTTGGCCATATCATGATTGTCAGGCACCACACTAAGCCACCATACAGTGTTAAGTAAGCTTTGTTGTGCATTCCTCATCTTTATAGAGCTGTTCATCCCACCAAACATGCTTGCCCTTTCAAATGTGGGGGTGTTATAATGTGATGGTAATCCCACTATTTGTTGGTTAAAGAATAGCCCAAGATTTGGCAGTGGGTGGTGATAACTAGCTTCCTTCCCTCTAGTCTTTCTCTGCTAAATTAGGGATAGGTAGCACAGATAGCCCTCGTGTAGCCTTGTGCAAAATTCAAAACAAGCCAAGGAACCAGACCTTGTGTGTCCACTATATTGCTTTATTTGGGAATTTAGATGTAGGTGTGTATGCGTTTTACTCCTTCATAGCTTGTAAGCTGGTGAAAATATAGCCACACTTGTGGGCAATTCAGACCCTATATATTACAAGGAGTTAAAATCTGTATTCAAAAGTATAAAAAAAAAAGAGTACTAGAAAGCTTTATTTAGAAAACTATTCAACAAAAAGGTCCCTGATTCATAGTTTGGTTGTTAAATTTTCGAGAATAATAAGGCTTCTGGAAAATTTAAAATGATTTCATTTGAGATAGCTTAAACTAAATTCATAGAAATAAGTTAAAAGATGAGGGAAGCTGTGATATTTTGGAAGAAAATTTCAATTTAAAATAAGGTTTTGTTTTAGGTAGCTACTTCCATGATTTAGCCCAATCACTAAAACTGTATTTGAATAGAGGAAACATTCTCATAACAGTTGGCTTTTTCCAGCATTTCAACATTTTTTGCAAATTAAAAATATATACGTCTAAAAAAGTTAACTAAACTGTTTGGTGTAATATTTAATGGTTTTTTTATTTACTTTTCCCAAAAAACGCCTATGCTACTTATTAAGCCTGAATACAGCTAACAGTTTTACAATTTTGTTTCATGGAAATATGGCAAAACATGATATTGTTAGTACTCTAAATGGATAAAATTATTTACTTACACTCATTTTTTATTGATCTTAGAGTTCCAAATGATTGTAAGCATTTTTAAATTTTCGTTTTTGCTTATTAAATTTTGAAAGAAAATAAAAAAGTAGTCGTATTACAAATTTACAAAGTGCAATACAGGGGTAAATTTTATTTTCTTCCAAAAAAATCATTCTTTATGAATTTAAAAATCTCAACATTATTCCTTGACATTTTTGAAAACTAGGAAGAATATTTATTCTTGGTGAACTACACACTAAGAAAAATTTATATCATGTAATAAATGTATTTCTTTATTTGCTATGTTCATTAACAAGAACAAATAATCAGTATATATTTTATGTGCATATTTTTTTCTGTTGATCTTCAAACCTTTTGTGCTGGTCTGGACAAGTATATTTTTTCTTACTGTCTCTTGATCCACTCAGGATTTCAGAAAAAGCACTAAGAGCCTCAATTTTTGTTGTTGTTATTGGAGGGAGTGTAAAACTTATCAAAAAATGTTTGTATTTTGCTCTCCTACTGTCATAAATAATACATAAAAAGAACATTGGTTTCACAAAAAAAGCCTTAGAGGTACACCTCTAATCACATTTTTTTAAATAGAAATATTTCTGAACACTGAACACTTTGCCTTATATCTTCTATTCAAATTAGCATTCACCTGTTAATTTTTCTAATAATTCTGTATGCATCCAGTTCAGTAATTAATTTCTTATCTAGCGCCTTATCAGTATCTGAAAGTCAAGATAAATTTACACTAGGATGTCCATGTATGGAGAAGTGGAGTGCTAACAACAAAAGTCAATCTAGGCTCATAATTTCATATATCATTCCTTGAAAATAGTGATTACACTTGCAATTTTCCAATCACTGTACATTTTGCAACTCTCAAAATACTGAAAAATATTGTTTAAAGTTAAGTTGCTATTAGATCTGTAAGCTTTTTCAAAGAATAATATAATAAGAGGGTATTCGTTCATTCAAGACTGTCCTTACACATCCTCCTAGGAAAAGTAAGAATATAATACGTCCTTTACTTTTTAGGAAAATATAATTAAATTCTTAAACTCTAAGAATAAGTACTCGTCTCCACTACTGCCAACAGCAGGTCATTCCATAAGTCAGATCTTGTGTCTTCTCATTCTTTTATTTACAGAATATAGCACAAAGAAATAAGAGGCCATTATCCTTTGATTCAATGGACAATCTATTAAACCTCAGTGAGATCACCTCTTACCCCCCCCTTTTTTTTTTTTACAAGAGAAAATAAGTTAAATAATCTTAATATGTTACTGTAATATAACCCTCCCATTCCCAGAATCAGTTTAAT